GAAAAATCATGCAGCAAGTTCTAAGGGGTTATATCTTCAAGACGGTGATGGATTCAGTCGTAAATAAAATTTTCCACTGTTCTTACATATGCGTGAATTTTTGCAAACAACACTTATCCATTTGTTACGCGTTAGTGTCGAAATATCTTGAGTAAAAGAAAAACTAGGGTAACTAGGGTAGTGAAAACACGAGCTTTATATTTTAAAACGAGACCATTGGGCAGATTATCGTACCATCCTTTTTTGAACAAAGTTACAACAGTTTAAATTACAATTGATCGAACAATTTTTCAATTTAAATTAATCTCGGCGAGAAACTCACTCTGCGAGTACAATTTATATTTGCCAGAACGGTGACGAGGTCGTCAAATTTCTTTCGGAAAGCATCCTTGAAAACAGTTTTTATCATCGTGCAAGAGAGTGGTATTCGATACTCTCTGAAAATTCTCTAGAAATTCAAACGTCAGGCCAGTTAATCCTACGATGGATGAAAAAAGGAAAGGAAAAATGTTTCACAGCGTGGCCGGAAGTCTCAACGACGGCTGCTCGTCGGCCGTCGGCCGCCAGTCTTGGACAGGACTGCGTCTCCGACTCGGAGTGTCGGCTGGCCGATCCGTACTCGAGGTGCGTCGATGGTGTCTGCGACTGTGGCTACCGAGGGAACGAGAGCAGCTGCTCCGCGAGAAACGCCGGATGCCCGGCCGGCAGCTTCCAATGCAGAAGCAGCGGCAAGTGCGTCAGCTGGTTCTTCGTGTGCGACGGAAGGCCGGACTGCGGCGACGGGTCTGACGAACGATGCTGGAACGAGCGGGGCAACGCCGAGTGTCCTGGACAGGCGTTCAGGTGCGACATCAGCAACGTCTGCGTGTCAAGGGCGGCGATCTGCGACGGGAAGCAGGACTGTCCGCACGGCGAGGACGAGGCGGGCTGCAACGATCGACGAAGTAGGTGTCGGTAGACGTTGACTGTAGAGTCTAGACATTCGTTTGGCTTCGCAGCTTGCAAACGAATCGGCAAACTCTCAGCTCCACAGGCTTTGAAACAAACACGTGATTTGTAGGGACTTCGCGGAACACAGTGGACGAAGTTTGTAACAGGGAGATATTGACGACCTTTGATTTCATTTTAACGTAATACTTGGCTTTTTATACCAAAGAATATTAGTGTACCTGTAGAAATTTATGCGTCTGACAGTGAGTCAGTTTGTGCTCACGTTTCAGAATGTCGGGTCCATTTTCCAGGTCCGATATTACTGTCTGTACCAATGATGGCGAACCTATGACCCACGCAGGCTTTTTAAATGATCCACGCGTTGATTTTTATAAACTTGTCATCATATATATATATAAAAGAATTTTAATTACTTTTCGAACCCCTCTTTTCTAAATTACAAGCGTTTGGTTAGAGCTTAAAAGTGAGAAATAAATGCACAATTGTGTTTTATGGAGGATCTACGACTTGGTTATGTATACATATATAGGTATATTTCAAGTCTTGAATGTTGTACGAGTTAGTTGTGTCCAAGAAATTTTATACAGCACTTACGATTAAACAGATGTAACAAACACTAAAAAAAACATACTAGATCCCATTCCTCAGAATGGGTAGCTTTGCTAGTTTTTTTATATAATAAAAGAGAAAACAGACAATAAAAAATATTAGGAAATAAAGTATATATATATATATATATATATATATATATATATATATATATATATATATATATATATATATCTAATGTATAGTGCAGGGGTGACTGGGCACGATGTCACCCCTTTTA